GCTGTAATGTTTTCTTTTAACGTAATTTTCTGCCTAATATTTTTGCTGATTGATAAAATTTTTACTTTTTCAATAACTCTACTATCACTTAGCAAACATTCATTTTTTAAAATGCATTATCTACTTCAGCCAATTGATGTAACTTTCGTTTTTACTTTGTACAGCTGCGTTAAATAATAATAAGTTAGAACTTGTAGATTTCCTCGGGTGTAATAACCTGATTTTTTTAATCAATATAGATTGATTGATGAAGTCGGTAGGTGAACATATCAATTTGAGCTTGATATATACCTCATCTGGTAGTCTTCTTGAAAGGAACCTGCTTTTTCGATGTCCGATCTAAGTGTCCTTGAAGATGTCTTCGAATCTACTCAAAAAAGTCGCCATTGCCTGAGTATATTGGAAATTCAATATTTATATTAACATTATTATTGGGCTGTTTCATATTTATTTATTTAATTTCCTCGAATATGTAGCAAAACTGCCACCATAAAGTTTTTTTTTAAACAAGTTTAATTTTTATTTTATTTAATTTATTTTTAAAATTCTTCTTTTTTTTTATGAAAACGAGAAGTGTAATGCTTATATAGCATGTTACAAACAAAAAATCAATTTACATATTAATTTAATAATTTATATAAAAAAATCAATTTAACAATTTATATATAAAAAAAATCTATATAATAATCTATATTATAATTTTCCGATGTCCTCACTACGTCATCGTGACGTCATGTCATCGGTACATAATTATTTTTATTTTTTTTATTTGTTGATTTTATTTATTTATTTTATACAAACAGATGAATGGAATTTCGAGAATTGATGGTGTACACATACCTAACATGGATTGAGAAATTTGAAAAATGGTCTTTGAATTGATAAAAACAATATTCCCTCAACTTTGTAAATATGAATGAAACTTTTTATTTCACTTAATCCTTTCTTTATTTTTAAATTACCTTATCAATTTTCATCTCATATTATCATTTACACATTAATGAAATCTCTACAAGATACTCAACTTTTATATTTATTTTGAACAAACTCACAATTTTTGTCAGTATTTTACATTACAATTTTTTATACTCATATTTTTCTTTTATAACCAATAATTAAGAAGATAACCAAGTATATTCAAATATTTAAATATTCTTATCCTAACCTTTATAATCTCCAATCCTTATAAATAACTCTTTCTTTATTTTTTTCCCCTCCCTTAATTAATTTATTTATCACTAAATTTTATTATCTAATTCTTTTCTTTCTATCTCTATTATCTATTAACAACTATTTCTCAAAACCTTATCAATTCCTTTAATTTAATTTTTATTATTTTTATAATATAATAATTTTTACCTTCTTTTTTCCCCCTTTTTTAATCTTATTTTTTAATTACCTTACAATTAATTAACCTTAATCTTAATAACATTACATTCATCATGTTATTTTTTAACTTTTAGAATATCATAATAGGCTTGATAAGTCCACCAAAAATTATTTTTGATGATAGCCCTCCAACTAGAAATATGCATCTAATATTGACCCATCTACCAGTTTTACATTATTTTAATGTTTGTTTAATTTCAACAATAGATATTTTTGCCTGATTTCTTTATTTGTTTAGGCTTACCCTAATCCCTCACATTGCTACAAAACTCTATTATTAAAGATAAGCAAAGAAAATAATGACGATTAAACAAACGCCTTACCCGTTCTAGAGTTACTGGTAGACAAAATAATAAAGAACTACGCTTGAAATGAACTCATCTGGAGGTTTATTATTTTTTTATCTTATGTTTTATATCTTTGTTTATTTTATTTTCACCTAGTTCTCCAAATTATACTATCACCACTACCACAATCCCTATGTCTCCGCCTATTTTTTAACAAATATAAACATTTAATTCTGTACTATCATTCACTTTACTAGGAGTTAATATAAATATTACTTTATCCGATTCTCTGAGAAACTTTCATGAATATTTAGAGGAATGTTCGAACTTGAATGTACAGTACGGCTAATTTCATCAACTTTATTAATGGAAAAATATGCAGTAGTTCTGTCGTGGCCTTTATAACAATACTTACGACCGTTTTATGGTTGAGTTAACATTGTCGTTTATGATTCTATTTTAGAGGGGGATACCAATGCTGACATTGACAGAAATATCGTTTTACTTTCTTCTTTTACCAGTATCCCAAGGCATAGGCATATCATCTTTATCAGGACGTAATGTTTTTTGTACACTGCTTTGTTAATCCGTCATCACTTTCATCTACAACCCTAAATGATATATAATTATACATTAATTATTTCCTCTCCAGACGACCGCCCAGATTTATTTTGTGGCTTTTTCCATCAAAAATTAAAATGTCAACAAGGATTTGCTCTTAATTTTATCAAATACATAATAAATAATCCTTATTATTTTTTAAAATAATTATCCTAAATTTATGTGTCAATAAAAAAAAATATCTTAAAAAATATATAAATAATTTGCATATAAGTTTCATTAGTGTTTAATGGCATTTTTTTAATTTTATTAGACAGCATTTTATTTTTACTTAACATAAAAAATATATATCCCTTATCAAATTCATTAACAAATAATTTCAGAAATGCAAGACATACATTAAATTTATCTGAAAAACAACAATAACCCTATGTAATAAACAACATATTTTTTAGATATAATTTTAATTGATCATATTACAAAAAAATATAAAAGTCGGTTATTTTTATTTTATTTGTCATGATTCTCTAATAAGTTGGTTGCCCAGGCCTTCCCAGTTTCCCTTAATACGGAATTTACATGTTTTTTTCCATATTAGATTAATTGGAAAATCCGATATTTCCTGTTCATGTGATGATATTAAAAATTTAACTATCTCCGAGGCTGGAAAAAATTTTCAAAATTATAATGGATAAGACTGGGCTTATAACCTCAAAATTAATATTAGCTTGCACCTGACTTGGAAATATCTTTTACAAATTATTAAGGGTTGAGCTGGGCTTGATAAATTTTTTTAAATGATAAGATCTTGTGCTTCCTAATATTGTGAGCTTGAACCTGGCATGACGCCTATCGTAAAAAATGAATAAAAATCTCATTCCCCGTCATTTTTGACGGGCTTTCTACTAGTTTATACAAACACAAAAAAAAACAATTTAAAGGTTAGTATAAATCAGGTCATATCTACAATACCATTTTTATATACATTTCATTACAACACCATATACACACCAATTATTATGTTTACTTTAGATTAATTTGTATTGCTTGTACAATTCCTCTCAAATTCTAAAAAAAAAATTGAAAATTTTTTTAAAATCTGAATTAATCTTTTTTTTTAAATTATCAACTCAAAAATGACTATATTAAATTTAGTATATAACATGAATATCATTTTATTAAATAAAAAAAATTGCCACAAAATAAGTTTTAATAAAATGTTAAAATTCATAATGAATATTTTAATGGCAAAAATTTTGCCAAAATACATAATTTAACTTTGAAGTAATTCTAGAAACCCTGAAGAACCATAAGAAAATCTCAAGAAGTCTTTTAGAAATTGGTATAAATATTTTCCAAATGGTTCATAAGTTTTTAAAATTATATTAATTTAGGTAAATTAATTAAGAAGATTATGGGAGCTCATTAAGAGTAATTTATTTTTTTAAACTATCGTTATTAAAAAAATATCAAAAGATATAAATTAAATTTCAACATAAATTCAATAAAAAATTTATATAAAAAATGAGCCATTGTTTGTAGATTTGAAGCTTGCTAGGGATTGTTGTATGTCAATTTTATAGAATAAGTCATCACAAGGTAAGAACTTTAATGTTTCCAAGTAACCTTTAAATAAGACATAAAATATAATTTAAAATGTATTTCTTTATATTTATTATTTTCTCTATCATTCTAAATTTCCTAATTCATTCCCATCTTATTTTTATTTTATATATCAAAAATTAACAACTATAATTACTTGGAGTGACCAAAATTTAAAAAAATGATATATAACATTACTGAAAAGATGGCAATAAATTCTCAGGTAATTGAATTTCGTTTACGATATTATTTATACATCCATTTTCTTGACCACTTCGTAACTTTTTATCGATTCGGAAAATGCGTAATAATAAGAAAAAATATAGCTTTTATTTTTTGCTAATATGCCATTTGGCTTAAGTCTATCATCTCCCATCATTTGAGGCATATGTATAAATTAATTTACCTTTTTTATCACTTCTAATTCTTTAGACGATTTTTTTATATCAGCAATCGAAAATATTTTATACTGTAATTAATTAACCTTTTTTTATTACTTGTAATTCTTTAGATGATTTTTTTATATCAGCAATCGAAAATATTTTATACTGTAATAAATAGATTTTGTATTAAAAAATAATATTTTTAGAAATGTCTTGTATTGTTTAAATTATTTATATGCTAGTTTATTTTTGCAAAATAGAATAAATGACAAAATATGAAATTCAGAATAATTGTTGAGAGTTAGCAAATAATAAGTATAATATATTAATATCAAACCCTGCCGAAATCCGGACAAAAGCTAGCCGAAGCCCCGCAAAATGGGGGGTATCGAGGGCGTAGGCCTCCATACAAATTTTTTTAGTTGAGCACCCTGAGATTGGGCTAGCGACTCCCTGCATTACAATATAGAATCAAAGATATAAAAACTCAGACTCAAATAATCATAAATAAGACTATTTTTAATAGGTCTGCGACCAACTCTTGGAAAATAATTATTATAAAAATAAAATATTTACTTAAATTTAATCTTATTTGAAATGTTGGGCACCTAGTCAGAATTTTAATATGCAATCAAGATGGTTTTAATGGCGTCTTAGGCCTATTTGAGGCTATACTTTAAAATGCATTTATGAATGATCATCAGTCTAGATATTATTATATGACATTGAATTAAATTTTCGATTGATCAGATGTTTTTAGTTTTATATGAAATGTCACGTTACCTGTCAATTAGAATGGTATATTTTTTAGATCGCAAAAGTTTAGCCTATTCCATCGCATGTGGTTTTTAGGGTCCATATCACAAGCTATTACACAAGCAAAGCTGCAAAAATCCATATTTATTGTTTTTATTTATGGTTTAATATTTTAAAAAATTTATTATTAAAACTCTCTTTAGGAAATGATGAACAATCTCGTGAAAATTTAAAAATTTTAGAGATGATAGACATACAACAATTATTTAGTTCTTTTAAAGTTGTAGCAGTTAAGATACAAGAATCATCATTAGAAAGCAAACAATTTTCTGATATTTATCCAGTTTTATTAATTCCATCTTTATATTTTATTGATACACGTGGCACACCTATTGATATTATTAATGGAAATCAGAGTCATAGTGAAATGACCAATAGAATATGTCAAATATTTGAAGTATAAATATAGATATTATATTAATGAATTTATTAATAATATCAATTTAAGACTATAAAACCTTTAAATTCTGCCCTCTGGAATAGATTATTAGCAGAGGTGTACCAATAATATACTTATGGTATCAATTGTTATTAGGAATTTTTAAAAAAAAAAAATGTAACAGGCCAGGCCAACAGATAAATAAAAAATATTTGACTGGGCTGGACAATTTATGCATTAAATATAAGGCAGATACAAATCTCTTATTTTTTATAAAATTTTAATAGGCTAACTAGCATGGACATTAAAATTTTGATATATTTTTTTTGAATCTCAAGCTAATATTTTGATTAATACTATTTGAAAATAAATTAAAATATGCTTATTTTTTTGTATTTTAAGAGCTGTATAATTAAACTACATATTCTATAATAAATAGTATAGTACATTCATAAAAAATTAAACAATTTGTTTATATATAATCTTGTAAGCACAATATTGATATCAAAAACAATGATTTATAAAATAGTAGTTGTGGAAATAGATAGGCATAGATGTAGGGTTTAATTGACATTGGGGAAAAATTAGATCTAGATATTAAAAATGTGATGGCCAGAAAACTCATACTAATTTTCTTTTTAAAAGATCAAACTTTTCTTAAATCTTTATGGGTCAGGGACTTTTTGTAAGATTTTTATGGGGAAAGCTGGGCAAATTTGAAATTAATAATAAGCTTGGTAGCAAATTAAAAAAATATATAATTCAATGGAAAAAAATGAAGCACAGGATGGAAAATCCTATGAGGTTGGGAAATAAGGATTTTGGGCCTGACAAAAAATTTAACAGGGTGGGCAGGGCAACATAAAAATAATAGATTAATGCAGGCAGGGCTTGGCTTCTAAGGCTTTTTTAATCCACAAATTTTTTTTACCTATCCAATTTAATTTTATATTTTCCAATATTCATACAAAACTAATCCGATAATTAGTGCATATTCAATATTAAAATAGATTTTTATTTACCATCTATCTTTGAATGGAAAAATTTTTTATGCAAAAATGAGCAAAACAAGAAACATTTTGAAATTTTTTGTTTCTACAAAAAAGAGTAACTGGCTAAAGCTACCACTAATGTTTTCAAAAAAGTAGCTGAATCTATTTTTTATTCTATTTTAGAATTTTTTTCAAAATATTTACATATCTCTATTTATGCAAATAAATAATATGACTAAAATTTTAAATATTTATTTATTTTTATTGCATCTCAATAATAATAACATTTTCATACTATCATCCACAAGTCTTGAGTGACAATAAGAAAGTATAAGATTTGACTAAATAATTGTTCAACATTAGCATGCAATGCAATTTAAATTTAATATACATATTTTTTATATAAGAAAAATTATACAATTATTAAAATATTTGAATATCTTTAAATTAAAAAAAAATCGGTCTAGATGATTTTCAATAGTATTATTATTTCAATATAATTATAGCTAGTGTCAGTCTAAAGTTATAATAGTAATAGTTGTAATAAAAATTATGTAGGGGATAAGTAGATGGCCTTGATTGCCAACTTGTCAGGCCACCACTCTTTGACTTTTTTTCTATTGAATCAATTTCTCTCAAAATTGGTTAAGATCTGAAAGGATAGAGTATATTTTTTGCATGTCTTGATAAAATTTATAAATATATAAATAGATAAGTGGTTAATTTTAAGCATGTTTAACATCCAGATAATTTATAAAATATTATTTTTAATTAGATGAGTCTGATGATAAAATGAAATTTTAATATTATTATATTTTTGTAATTTTTAATTTATAATATAATTCTTGAATAATATATTATGGTCAGTTGAAACAAACCATGTTGGACTGGACCAAAAAATCAACTTTCACATAAATTCATCAAGCACAAAAACTATTATAGATACAGCTTTGATTCAAATTTTATTATAAAGATTAAGGATTGTACTACACATTGATATTAAATTTGTTTGATATATTTCTTTTAAATGCTTTGTCTTTGAAGCTACTATTTTTGTTTGATGATAAAACCTTCCTGCACATCTTACAATGAAATTTATACCCTGTATTTTGTGAATTCAGGAAAAGAGGATTCCATATTATTATTTTCCAGGGAAATTACTTTTTCGATATGATCTGTAAACAAAATTATGTTCAATATCAATCTCTATCGTCAACATTTTAAATTATTTTGAAAACTAGATTTATTATACAGATTTTTAAATATAAATTTCAATCAAAATAAAATTAAATAAAAAAATTATGATTTTAGAATTAATTATAATTATTTTTATGAGCATTTATTATATAAAATTGACTAAAACGAACTACCGCTATCGCTATTTTTTTTTAAATAGTGCGCTACCGCTATCGCTACCCATCAAAAAAATAGCTAGCTATTAGCTACTAATTTTTAAAAGTAGCTTTGGCTACTTTTTAGGCCATTTTTATAAAAAAATATTAGAAATAAATATGTTTTATTTTTTGCTTATAATATAATTTTATGAAAATCGACATTTATATATATTTAAATTAATGTAATAAAAATAACTATTTATTTATTTTATTGCATTTTAATAATAAAATCATTTCTATACTATCATCCCCAAGTCTAGAGCGACGATCAGAAAGTATTCGCCTAGCTAAATAATCTCTCAACACGAGAACTTTAGGGTAAGGCAGTGTATAATATTATATACATATATTTAATATATGAAAAATTATCAAAAAGATTTTCTATTATATTGGTATCCTTTATTTCAAAAATTTCTTTTCTTGAGAGAGAGAAAGATCTTGGAAGTCGTTTTGTGGTTCTAATTATTATTGTCTGGCGACAAAAAATTGTTGTACTAGGGGATAGAGTTTTAATCATCTGCTAAATGATGGATTACCAACCAATGACATTGGCTGAACTGTATCAATTATAAAATCGATAATTACTTTATAGGCAGTTTCTGAGAAATATTGGCATGTACAATATCAATTTAACTTGAATTGAATTTGTTTGGATGTACTCTCCACTATTCCAAAATTATTAGGATTTTATTCTATCTCTTAAAACACTGGCATAAACACTCTTACAAAAAAATAAAAATACTATACCTTTAGGTATTTTTTGAGGTTATAGCCACTAGATTTATTTGAGGATATTTCTACATTTTATACAAATAAATTTTTAGCCAAAAATATTTTTCAATTTTGAAAATGGAAAATTTGTATTACTGTTCAAATACATTTTCTTCCAAGGTATCTACCACCACTTCAATTATCATTTGACTCACATCGATTTCTTTATTCATTTGCGATATCATTTTAAATAATTTACACCAAATGATTTAGGTTTATAATAAAAATTGAAAATATAAATTTCAAAATTAAATAATAAAAATTATAAATAATTATTTATGATATTAAATTACATTTATTTTGTTTACAGTTACATTCATTATATTTTTTGGAAGTCAAAAAAAGGAGCGCGCTAAAAAAATAATTGGAAGAAAAGAACACGCTATTAGCTATCGATAACAAAAAAGATAGCGCGCTACTTTAACAACTCTGCTAAGGCAATATTTGGTTTTTCCCAAATGATTAGGTCTACTTTTTTATTACCAAGAGTTAATCATCTTTATAAAATATTGGGAAATTTATGGCTGATTGCCACTTGTTAAATATAAATCCTTTGCAAAAACAAATAATATCTCATTTTTAACAAATTTTTCTTTTATAATATTGATTTAAAAAATTCACAATTACAAATAAATTGAATTTTTGTTCATTTTTTATTAAAATTATAAATATTATATAATGATTTAATCATAAAATGATGAAAATATCAGATTGTATTTTGAAATATTAGCCCGCTTAGATTAAATATCGGATTATTTTTAGAAAAGAAAGAAAAAATAATTGTGTAAAAAAATTTTTTTTTAAATTTCCAAAACTTTATAATTGTCGTAATTTTTAAAGGGATCATGACTATCCGGGATCTTCACGGGATTTAAAGGGATCCCTTTAAAATTTCAATTTTTTAAAGGATAAAGAACTATACGGTATTATCACTGGGGCAGAGATTGACCTCCAGTTGAATAAATCTTTTGATTAGCTATCGAATGATACCCTATACTAGACATATCTTATATCATAAGGCCAAAAAAAAACAAAATTAAAATTAAAACGCAACGAAACTCGTGGAAAACGCTTTTAAAATTAGATTCCTCTTTATCACGATTAAAACGTGATAATCCCGTATTATCATTCCTTAATTATCAACCCTAATTTTTTAGTTATCCCTTTAAATCCCGTGAAGATCCCGGATAGTCATGATCCCTTTAAAAATTACGACATAATTATTATGATAAATCGCTTTGTTTATTATTACTTTTTCTCTAATGATGGAAATGATTCTTATGTGATGCGAGTAAATAATTTATATAATTTTTAAAATCCAATCTATGATTTTGCATTATATCTTTTCCACTTCTATTAATTTAAAATGCAACACCTAAATTCTTTGAATTTTTTTGTGGGCTAAATAAGATAACCATAATAGTTCAAATGCAATTTGTATAACAATAGAAAATCAGCCATAAAGTCTATGGTGTAAAAAAACAGGGCAAAATCCTATCCAATTTAAAAAAAATAGGCAATCATCAAAAAATATTTAACCATACTTTGAAAACAACATTTTTATGGTGATAAAACCATAATATTCGAGGTGCACTACATTTATCTAGTGCACTATAAAATATTCACTTAGTTATAATATACAGATAGCAAACTACAAACTTATTGCCTATTTTTTTCCTAATTCAAAAATAAACAATTAGGGAAAATGTGTAAGAACAGAAGTCCTAAAAGTGCTAAATATCCAAGGTCCTGATCTTAAAGTATGCATCAAATGCAGTTGCTAAAACATTCCCAACAAAAAAAGGACTTCAAGTAAACTTCCAGAAATTTTTTCTGACTCGGAGAAATCGTGAGATAGTGC